CAGCCTCGGCCCTGTAGCAATCAGAGCCTTTTCAGTTTTAGCAGGGAAGACGTGTAGTCATAGCTGCTCTTTCCTGTTATCTGAACTTCTTGCCTCTACCTTCCTTTCTGGAAAGAATAATTTTTCTTCTATAAAGGAAATATATTTTCACTTAGAAAAATTAGAAAATATAAATATATGAAAAGAAATTAAAAGATATAAAAACTCACAACTAAGAGATAGTTATTAAACATATATTAAAATATGTTCTTCTGGTTTTTAAAAATATATACACATAATCACACATAGACACACATATACATGTTTTTATTATAATATTCAATCAATTATTATCATATATATTGTTTCCTGCCTTTTTCACTTGTATATGTACCACTACATTTTCTTATCTCTAAAAATAATTATATAGAACACGAATTTAGATGCCTGATGCTGTATTCCATTAAATATATGGCTTTCGATTATACTAATACTCTTTATTTGTTGCTCAGTTAAGGTCGTATCAAGTTTTTATTGACATTAACAATGCTGGAATGAAAATATTTTTATTTTCCTCAGTTAATTTATCTCGTATTAATTCATCTTAATAAATGCCTATAAATATACCTACCAGAAACTTACAAAAATAACCTGGGTCACCTAGAACATGAAAGAGGTGGTTTTCATCCAATTTGGGGCTCCATACTTATAATCTAACATAGAATATTTTGAAAACACACTGTTATCTTCCTGATGAAATAATTTGCTCCCAGTTCAGAAAGGTAGAGTCACCCCATTGTTTAGAAAGGATTCTGAATGCAGAAACAGAAGATCTGGCTATAATATCTTGTCAATGTGGGAAAGACTTTCTTGTCTTTGGCCACAGAATTTTTCCATTTGCATTATGAGGTAATCACACCTTCCATGAAGTGGTCTTTGAAAGTTCAGTTGAGCAAACATTTAAACAGCTTGGAAAACTGCCTGACCCAGATAAAGTAATGATAAATGCTATTTTATTTTGGCTTCTTTTTTTTTTTTTTTGAGACAGAGTCTCGCTTTGTTGTCCAGGCTAGAGTGAGTGCCAAGGCGTCAGCCTAGCTCACAGCAACCTCAAACTCCTGAGCTCAAGCAATCCTCCTGCCTCAGCCTCCCGAGTAGCTGGGACTACAGGCATGTGCCACCAAGCCCGGCTAATTTTTTATATATATATCAGTTGGCCAATTAATTTCTTTCTATTTATAGTACAGACGGGGTCTCGCTCTTGCTCAGGCTGGTTTTGAACTCCTGACCTTGAGCAATCCGCCCGCCTCGGCCTCCCAAGAGCTAGGATTACAGGTGTGAGCCACAGCGCCAGGCCTATTTTGGCTTCTTATTAGCCACTACTATTGGTTTCGAACTCCTGACCTTGAGTGATCCACCCACCGCAACCTCCCAGAGTGCTAGGATAGAGGCATGAGCCACTGTGCCCGGGCAAGCCACTACTATTGACCTGTATATTGTGGGATCAGACTCATTTAATTGCATTCAAAAATAATGTATGAAACAAGTATGAAATTACCTTCCACTCAAGACTAAATAACTTACTTAATCAAAGAATAAACTTCTATACATCCAATATATTAACTGCATAAAAGTGAAGCAAATTATTCTAAGATAAAGGGGATTGCATATTATCACCACATGGTTCTATTTAATAGACACAAAAATGAGATAACAGAGAAAGTTCTAAAAACATTTGCCAAAATAAAATTTTAAGCACCCCGCTGACTGAATATATGCCCTCTCTTGGCCAAGGGGACCCCAGAAATACCCCAAAGATGAGTTGCTGGGCATGAGAAGGGAGGTCACCATGCTTCATCATGTCCCTTTCCCTTCTTGGAGTCATCCTTTGTCACTCATTAACAGACCTAACACTATGCAAGGCAAAGCTTAAACCACACCTTCAGATCATCAATTTCCCTAACAGATCACTTAAATCTGGTTACATGTCTGGTGGTTTGTCTCTGATTGACAGACTTCCTTATCTTAACTTTAAACATTACAAACCTTTAGACAAAGCTTCATTTCTTCAACCAATTACAAATCAAAGAACCTTTAAACCCTGTAACCTATAGTGCCCTACTTCCAGACATCCTGCCTTTTGGGGCCAAGCTAACTTTCGCCTCCCATATAATAATTTATGACTTTACATGTAATTCCTATGTCCCTAAAATATATAAAACTAAACTGTAGTCTAACCATGGTGAGACCACTCGTTCAAGGCTTCTTGGCTGTGGCTCTCTGCGCCAAAGTGTCACATATTTGGTTCAGAGTAAAATTCTTTAAGGTATTTTACAGAGTTTGGGATATTTTCCATTGACAATATGACTTAATCCTAAAGCACATAGAGGAAAAAGTAAATACCATAGGAAAAAAGTAAGGCTAAATTATTTTTAGCTTTTCCAAACTCCCCAAATTTCATTTAAACTAGTATTGGGTGAAGAGGAAAAGGTTAAAGAATCATGCCTCCCTCAGATAACTCTTAGTCTATGACTTTCAAGGATAATACATTTCTTTGACATGTTTTGACATGGCTGCCGTGGGTCTCACAGATAGAAGTAACACTGCAGAGCTGTCTTTTGTGGGGGCAAATTCACATCTGTAGAGAAAGATAACTGTCCCCCCTCATCCCTACACCCACCAGGAAAGGACACCATGAGAAGGCAGCCATCTGAAAGCCAGGAAGAGAACCTCCACCAGGAAAAAATTTAGCCAGCAACTTGATTTGGACTTTCTAACCTCCAGAATTGTAAGACAATAAATTCATGTTGTTTAAGCTGCTCAATCTGTGATATTTCATTATGGAAGCACAAGTAGACTAAAACATTATGTGGCTAACACCTTGTATCTTCCTTTCTTTCTTGATTGAACCTTTAATAATACCGGATTACTGTCCGTGTTAAATTATACAGTAATCGATTCTTCAAAGTCTGTCTCTCTCAGTAGTCTGAAAATTCTTCCATGGCTCAGATTCTTCTTTTTACCCATTCGTATTGCTTCTCCCCACACAACACATTGCCTGACCCCTGGTGGCTTTTCTATATATGTTGCTAAAAGAAAACACAAATATCTACAGCATAGCTGGCAATTATTTAACCAACCTGTTTAAAAACCATTGTGCTCACAAAATTAATACATAAGGCATAGCTTTCTTCCTATTTTAGACTGACTATTAGCAATTTCTGCTCTTTACAAGGTGAAATACCTATCTCTGCATGCTGTTGTAATGCTCCGAGTGTTCTCCATGGAGCCCCAGACTTGAGAAAATTAAGAGAATTCCAGAGTCTCTATCTCATAAAAATTCATTATATACCCTCACCTTTCTCAGCTCCCTTGAATTTTCCTAAGGCCTTTTCAGTGACTTCAACATTTCCTCAAGTGATTTTGTCTTTCATCTCTCCTCTCAACATCATGCCTTCTTTTGCATGAGGCATATATGGCTGAGTTCTCTTTAAAAAGTAGGATACCTTGTATAATTTATAGGTATGATACAAGGTATCCTACTTTTTAAAGAGGACTCAGAGGAAAATGTTGGAAACACTTTCCTAGATATCGGCCTAGGCAAAGAGTTTATGAAGAAGTCCCCAAAGGCAATCACAGCAACAACAAAAATAAATAAATGGGACATGATCAAACTAAAAAGCTTCTGCACAGGCAAAAAACAGTCGTAAAAATAAACATACAGTCTACAGAATGGGAGAAAATTTTTGCATCCTACCCATCTGATAAGGGGCTGATAACTAGAATATAATTAGAACTCATGAAAATCAGCAAGAAAAAATCAAATAACCCCTTAAAAAAGTGGGCAAAGGACTTGAACAGAAACTCTTCTAAAGAAGACAGAAGAATGGCCAACAAACATGAAAAAATGCACAACATCTCTAATCATCAGGGAAATGCAAATCAAAACCACAATGAGGTATTACTTCAGTGAGAATGGCCTTTATCAAAAAGTTTCCAAACAATAGATGCTGGCGTGGATGTGGAGAGAGGGGAACACTCCTACACTGCTGGTGGGACTGCAAACTAGTTCAACCTCTGTGGAAAGCAATATGGAGATACCTTAAAGCCATACAAGTGAATCTACCATTTGATCCAGCAATCCCATTGCTGGGCATCTACCCAAATGATCCAATGACATTCTACAAAAAGGACACCTGCACTCGAATGTTTATAGCAGCACAATTCATAATTGCAAGGCTGTGGAAACAGCCCAAGTGTCCATCAATCCAAGAATGGATTAATAAAAGGTGGCATATGTATACCATGGAGTACTATTCAGCTCTAAGAAACAACGGTGACATAGCACATCTTATATTTTCCTGGTCAGAGCTGGAACCCATACTACTAAGTGAAGTATCCCAAGAATGGAAAAACAAGCACCACATATACTCACCAGCAAATTGGTATTAACTGAGCAGCACCTAAGTGGACACATAGGTACTACAGTAATAGGGTATTGGGCAGGTGGGAGAGGGGAGGGGGCGGGTATATACATACATAGGTGACATGTGCACCATCTGGGGGATGGTCATGCTGGAGACTCAGACTTGTGGGGGGAGGGGGGAATGGGCATTTATTGAAACCTTAAAATCTGTACCCCCATAATATGCCAAAATAAAAAAAGTAGGATACCTATAGTATACATTACTCCTGTTCCATTCTGATTATTTTATAGTACTTTAGATTCTCACTCTTTCTCTAAGTCTGAATTTTCCAGTCTCCATCAGTGTGCTAAATATAATGTGAGACTGATGGGCAGATCCATCCTTTGACTCATGTTTACTTAAAACATTTGAGTCTTTATAAAATGGGGTGACATGAGCAGATTCTCCTCTCACTGGTATATATATAACATATAATCTCCAGCTTCCAACTTGAATAAAAATGGAGGAAATCTTTTCATGTGACTTATAGCTTAGGGAAATGACCATAAATATTTTCCTTAAGAGAAGAATCACATCCAGAGTCAAGCCCGACAGTAGGTTTCCTGCTGAGAATTTTTTATTGAAGAATCAAATTCACATTTGCACCAAATCACCCTTTGCCTCCTCAGCCATCCTGGAGAAACTGGTCCTCTCAGCGGAATCTGCCAGAGGGGGATTTGGTGCCCTTCAGCATTGGGGAGCATTTTCCATAATTTTCCAAAGAAAGCGTACCACGACTTTCCCTGCAGAAGAAGTTATTTGTTAAAAGAAAGCCTTCGGAGACATTAAATGAAAAGTTTCATATCCTTAGATCAATTAGTCACATGAGTACACAGTAAGAAAGGTGAATAATTAATCACCAAGCTTCAACAGGGGAGAAAAGAGGACTTCAATGTAGTAGTGAAAGCTGGTGATAGAAGCCAAAGAATCTATAAATTTCTCTGTTAGTTGCCACTTGGTAACATTATAATGCTGATAAATTTTCTGACTTTCTTAGCATCTGTTTCTTGCTACTATCTTTTCTTTCCTGTTTTCTGTCTCTTTCCTTGCTTTTCTTTTCTTTTTTTTTTTAATAATATTCTGATTATCAATGAACAAACTCACTCTTATTGTTCATAGTAGCATTTAGCCTATTAGGTAGATAATATGGTTTCTGGCTTTTTCTGGAAGAGGCTATTTCTGCAAATCATATATTAAATTCAGCACTTACACAACAGCGTTGCAAAATGTACATTGGTTGGGATATTCTTTTCCATCAGATCCACAGTGAGGAATGTATTCCATGGTACAGACCTCAGAATATTTGGTGCACTTAATCTGCCAAGTCAAAAACAAAGTTTCATGTTTCAAATTTTTAAATCACAGAAAATACGAGCCCAGGAGTTCAAGGTTACAGTAAGCCATGATTGTGCCACTGCACTCTAACTTGGGTGACAGAAAAGACCTTGTCTTTAAAAAAAGAAAAAAAATGTTATCATAGAAAATGAACTTTTAAAAGACTTTGAACAATCATTAGTCCAATATCTCACATGCAAAAAGGCATAACCTTGCACCTTAAATATTCTACCCTGACAACTTTGAAATCTTGTTACAGCAAAAGATAGCTCAGCCTGTGTTTAGGTCCTGCCTCTCACCCAGTCCCCATATCTAAGTGACGAATGGACCCTGTGGATTTCATCTGGTACTTTATTCTGAATCAGCCCTCTCCTCGCCATACTGTCATTGATTCTGTTCAGACCCTCAATATGTCTTCCCCAAATAGTTTTAATTGTCTGCCAATTTATTGCGCATCCTCCATGCTCACTGAAGGCTTTGATTATCCTCCACACTGATGCTGGAGTGATCTTTTACAAAACAGATCAGATCTTGTTCTTTATATACTTAAGTGACTTCCCATCAGAAGATAATCCCCTTTGACCTGTGCTTTTCTCTTCACATGTATTTATGTCTTTCCTCTTCCTGTTACCCTTGATAAACATCTGGGCCAAGTTCCCAACTGTTTTCAGCTGCTGTGTATTTCTGTGCCTTGGCTCCTGCTGTTTTCCTGTCTTCTTGCCTGATCTTTCCCGCTTTACCCACCAGGCCAGCTCCCGCTCTCCTTTAAGTGTCATTTTAACTACTTGTAGAACAGTTTCATGATGATGCTTTTCTCCCACACCCATCTAATTGGGTTACGTGTCCCTCCTTACACTGAGCTGCCTTCACTGCCACCACCCGTGTTTATGATGCTCTGATATCACATTTTAAGCTCTATTGGAACTATTCACATCACACTCACATAGCTCTTTACCCCTGAATGGTCTCTACACTTGCTCTTGAATTTTTTCTTGCTTTATTTATAATTTCCTTTCTTTTTATGAGAGTGTCTTTGAGTACCTAATTTCCCTTGAAATACTCATCTTAACCTTGTAATTAGTTGTAGTATTAGAAAATAACCGTATGTATACCGATATGTCCCAATTAAGGCTATGAGTAAGGTTTGTGAACTCTTCCTTTGCTAATTTAGGCCTTCTGTTCAGGCTGGCCAGATGCTTTATCTATAAATATACACACTCATAAATGATTTCTAGAACATGCATTTTATAATAGTTATTTTCTATGAAAGTGAGGAGTTATTGCAACATTGCACATTAAGGGTAAATAAAACTTCTGCATATACTTACACAGTTACCATCATGAAGTTTTCTGAGTTGCAAATTTTTCTCTCTAGAAGAGAAGATTTTATTAAATGTATAATGCAATGATTTGAGGTGTCATAGACTATAGAATAAAATACAGTCATATGTTATTTCTCTGTTGTCTGACCTGGACTGAAAATGAGGTGGAATTCCCATCAGTTGAATTCTCTCTGGTTGAATTACTACTTCAGTTGACTAATATTGACTGTAACCATATTTAATAGATGAACACTTAACAACTAAGAATATAAGAAAATACAATCAACTCTAAAAGTAGATTGGGCATTTTTAAAAATAGCCCATGAATATTCAGATGAAAAAGTAGGTCATATGATACTGTGAAAACATTCTTAAAACTGAGATTAAGAAGAAAAAAAATAGGCCCAAATACTTTCCTGGATCTTAGAATCTGCACAATTCAGTTATACAAAAGTCCAATAGTCAGAAAGGAGTTATTTCTCCTTGCCGACTATTAGATTCACGCTATCTAAAAAGAAGGTATGAGATAATGTAATCAACAAGATCTCATCAGTCTTTAATCTCTTCTTGTTGTGTTAATATTAGTGCATGAACTTGCCTGTCTTGAGAAATCTTATTGTGAATAGCACTTGCTATTACACTCGACTGTAAATTTTCTGAAGGGCTAGAAAATAGAAGAAAAGTAGGAAGTAAGGATAAGAAGAAAGAAGAGCTTATTTTCATGAGTATTCACTCTGTGTCAGCTATTTAGCTAAGATTTGTGACATTTTATCACAGTGAATCCTAAATGTGATTATAATATCTATCTTACAGGTAAGAATACTAAAGCTTGTAGTGGCTTGGTTATTTACATAATATCACTGATCTACTATGTGAAATCTGGATTGTAATCCAGATATTTGGCACCAAAACTCACAATTTTAGCCACTAATCATAAAATATTGAATTTCTCCTACTGAAAGCCTGGTAATAACAATTCTTTCATTATTCTAAAAGCTCATATTTTATTAAAGGTAAAGTCTTAATATTAAATTTGTGGAGCTGGTGGTGCTGGGAATATGCTCATTTCAACTACCCATTTGTACTATCACTCTCTTCCCTAGACTTTTCTAGATGTTTAAGCATAAATTGAAATGTAATATTTCCATATAATTTCTCAAAATTTTATGTGTCCATGGCTAACAGATGAAATAGAGATAGCCATCTTCAAAGTTCCCAAATGCAAAAGCAAAGATGTAACAGAGGAAATTTGTGGAAATTTGACCAAGATACATTTCCTGCTTGAAATCCTATTTCCTTAAATGTTATGTGAGCATAAAAATATTTCGTGGGGATAATGCCCCAATGATCGTGTGCAATGTGAAAGAGAATTTGGCTAAGTAGCAAAGATATATGAGGCTGGAGTAATGAATCCAGCCTTTGTCCATACGTGTTTTCCATATCACATAGCTTGATACTTTCCAGAGAGCCTCATAAATATAGATATATAGATATGGATACACACACACACACATACATATGCAAACACACAAATACACACTAGAAATATAGCTAAACTTTTCTTTTTTCATTATTTTGAAATTGCAATGTCCAAGGGATATTGGAGAAACATACAAAAAGTTAGCATTTGTCAAACCATGTTTTAAAAGTCCAAGCAGATTTGGGCCAGTGTGGGCTTTATAGTCTTTAAAAAAAAAAAAAAAAAAAAAAAGTAGGGAACTCAAAGTCAAGTATTTTACTTACTGGTTTTGCATGCAAAGCATGCATTCATTGCTGTAAGTTTTCTGATCTGTGCCACATATTGGACTCAAATTCCTTGGGCATGCAATTTTTGTGCCTTTTCCATTGTATTGGGAACAGTCCACCTGTAATTCAAACAAAATATAATATCCTTCATTATGTCCCTTCAATTCTACAGTCATTCTCATATCCAGATGGTGTAGGAAGAACAAGAGAGAAGAAAGAACACCAGTCTCTTCGGTTTTTCAGCAAACACCTCCGGAAGATCTTATACAGACCAGGTGTTGTACTACAGAAATAAATCAGACCAGAACATACCCTATAATTGAATTCTCTATGTAACAAGGAAATGTTAAGCTCTCCATTTAGGGTGGTAATGAGAGTCCAGTGGAATAATGTATCTGAAAAATACTCAGAAGAGTTTAAAATGCTGCCCAAAGGTAAAAGTTTACTTTGTCTGCTGTTTTCCTTTTGCAAGGAGGTTCCTTTTGCAACCTTTAAAGAAACAAAGGTGAAGAGCAGGAACATTTTTAACTCCTGAGGAATTACTTCAGTCCACTGTGAGCCAATTTAGCTTCTTTCCCAGCTGTATGCACACCTTAACTCTGATTTCATTTTTATAAAGACCACACAGAGAAGGCTGCACTTACCTCTGTCCCTTTGGCTTGATCACCAGAAGACAGTGAAGTGAGATGCAATTGGAGAGAAGGAATTGGAGAAAGAACATATTTTACAGTTAGAAGTGCAAAGCTACATTGCTCACAGTAACCCAAACCCATTTCCCAACAACTTTCTTTCCCAGCCCAATCCAACCCTAACAGAGGTCATTTCTTTACCGAGGGCCAAACTCAGAATGAAGACAAATATCTACATAGCCCTGATTTAAAACAAACAATCCAGAGAGGAAAGTCCCGGTTATTGACAAGGGGCTGTCACAGATGTCCAGGAGATTCTGGTGGGTATGTCCAGAGTAGGTTGGGTCATGGTCCCCAAGCTGTCCCCAAGCTGTTCCTGGAAAGGCAAGTCTTAAACCTGAAAGATCCTGATCAGGAACTGCACAGAGAACCAATACCCTTTTATTCCTCTTCTCAGTCTCTGTTCCTTTCACTGAAGGTACAACCCTCCTCGGTTTGCTAATCAGGCCAATCGAAATAAAACTTTCTAAAGTATCTTCAGACTATAACATTTTATAATTTAATGAAGATTGAATATGTTACAGTTAACAAGAAAGGCATGGATTTTTGAAAGAAATCGTGAGTTACCTGCTGGAGAGGCAGCCCATGCAGTGGCTGCCAGAGCAAAGATGGCCAAAGCAGCAATGCCCTTCATAACGATGGTGAATGACAGTGACAGACACGCTGCTCTGGGGCAAGGAGTGAGAGAGAGAGAGAGAGACAGAGCAGTCTGCCCTGCGTACAAATATATATATATACTCACACTCAGGCTGGGGCCCACCTTCATTAGAAATTGACCTTTTCAATGATTGGCTATGAACTCAGGATATTTGTTTCATTCCTCCAGGAAAGTTTCCTTATTATTATGATTTATGGACAGTTGGGACAGTTTTACCATGCCAGTTATCTACCAAAAAGAAGTTTTGCATAATGACCTCCTGATTGCTTAGCAAATACAATGCTCTATTTGAGAACAAACTCAATAATTGGCGTAGTAAGAGAAAACAAACAATGAAATGACATGTGTAAAGGGTATTACATGTGTTAATGTCATATTACAAGCAGATGAGTTGAAATGGAAAATAGAGGCAATGAGGACACTCTTTAAAATGTACAATAGTAGATAACGTTAGTAGTTGGCACTGAACATTCCTTATTTCTACAGTAGGAAAATTCTTTACAATTGTTTCAAGAATATCTGGGACAAAGTGGAAAAAGTGCCCCCAAACTGATAGGGAGCTGAGAGACCAAAATATGACTCCGTGTGTGTGTGTGTGTGTGCGCGCGCCTGCCTGCCTTCCTTTCCAGGAAGAATTTGTTTGTTTGTTTTTTTATTTTGTTTTATGTTTATCACTTTTTAAAGTTCAGAGTCAAAGACTAATGGCCTTTATATCTATCTCCATGTCTATTCCTTTCCAGGAATTCTTTTAGGAACAATGGAGAAATTAACCTTTCAAAAACCCTGCATTTTTCTTTCTTTCTTCCTTTCTTTTGCCACCCACTTAAAAATATCTAAGAACATATAAACAGTATCTAGAATTATGTTAAATCCAATATCATCACAATGCATTGCTCAAACCAAAAGTCACTTCAAAGAATCCAGGCCCATCTCTACTTACCTGTTGCCTAACAGGCCTAAAGTTTTTGTTTCAAACCAAACTGGCTGTGATTCCAGGGAAGTTAGCCTTTGACTCAAACACACAATGCAAAAGAATGCATTAGCTATCCCATATATGATCCTGAACATGGTAGGTGTGGATTTTGATCAATAAATTTGGGTATACAAAATTATCTACTGTTTATTTTTCTTTTTTGTAGATAAAATTATATCTGATTCTGCCTGGATTTGAGGAGACTTTGTCTTATTCATCATTGGAGTTCATGAGGATGTGATATGATTTATAAGTGCACAGAAAATGAAAGTAGACCCTCTAATCTCTGCACAATGAGGGTAGCTTCCTGCATTATGATGGTCCCAGCCAAGCCATAAATAGTTCCTTTCTCTGAGGCTACTCTCTGGTTTTCTAGGGCACATGGTACAGAGTGATTTTAACTGGGACTGAGCATCTGACCCTGTGATTCAGTAGACACTTTTTGAAGTCAGAGAGTCAGGAGTCTTCTGCTTCCTCTGAATGCTACCAAGTAGAATTCTTTTTTTTTTTTTTTTTTTTTTTTGTATATTGGCAAAAACACTTCAATGAGAGTTAACCTTTTAACAAAATTTCAGTGTGAGTACAGTGTTGTTAACCATAAGCACAATATTGCTGAATGGGTCTCTAGAAATTTTCATCTTACATGACAGAAACTATATCCGTTGAACAGCAACTTCCCATTTCCCCCTTGCCTCAGCCCCTGGCAACTAACATTCTGCTTTTTTCCCCATGAGTTCGACTACTTTAGATACCTTGTATAAATGAAATTGTGCAATATTAGTCCTTCTGTTATTAGCACATTCCACTTGGCATAATATCTCAAGGTTTATCTATGTTGTAGCATATAATAGGATTTCCTACTTTTTACAACTGAGTAATATTCCATTATATGTATGTGCCATATTTTCTTTATTCATCTGTATATGAACATTTAAGTTGTTTCCATCTCTTAGCTATTGTGAATAGCACTGCAGTGACCATGGGAATGCAGTTATCACTTCAAGATCCTTATTTCAATTCTTTGGATATATACCCAGGAGTGAGATTGCTAGATCATAAAGTAGTTCTGTTTTTCATTTTTTGAGGGAACTCTATACAGTTTTCTACACTGTTTACATTCCTGCCACGAGTGCACAAAAGTTCCAATTAATGCACATCTTCACCTTTTCTTTTTTTGAAAATAGACATTCTAACGGGTGTGAGGTTATTCCTCCTTGTGGTTTGATTTGCATTTCCATTATGATTAGTAATGTTGAGCATCTTCTCATATACCTGTTGGCCATTTGTTACATCTTCATTAGAAAAATGTCTATTCAAGTCTTTGCCCATTTTATAATTAGGTTATTACTTTTTTTGCTACTGAGTTATAGGGATTCCTTATATATTTTAGATATTAGCTCCTTATCAGATATATATTTGCGAATATTCTCTCCCGTTGGGTAGGTTGCCTTTTCACTCTACTGACTTTACTCTTTCCAGAAGGCATTTATTTTGATGTAATGCAACTTATTTATTTTTGCTTTGATTGCTTGTGCTTTTGGTGTCATATCCAAGAAATCATTGCCAAGACCACTATCATGAAGCTTTTATTCTGTATTTTCTTCTAGGAGTTTTACAATTTCTGGTCTTATATTTAAGTCTTTGATCCATTCTGAATTGAATCTTGTGAATGGTATAAAGGTCTAATTTTATCCTTTTGCATATGGATATCAAGTTTTCACAATACAATTTATGGAAGACATACCAAGAAGCACTCTTGTTCAAGTGTCTTTTATTTTTCTTGAAACGTTATTCCTTATCTTTTGGTTATTTTCAAAGTACTCAAGCCACTATAAGTAATTTCTTGTCCATCATTTATGCTTTGGTCCTGTTTAATTCAATCATTTTCTAAAACAAGAGTGTATATCTTTTTCTGATAGCTTTGTAATGGAAGTAAAGAAAAAATACAAGGAACGCTAATTTATAGATTTTAATTATTGCTTTCATTGTTGATTTTGTGTTATTGTTTCCTTTTTCACACATTGACATGAAAATGACAGTATCAAATTCCAGTTTTTTTCTTAAAATCTTATCTTTTCCTTATAGGTAAAAGCTAATGCTATGGTTTGAATGTGGTTTTTCCACACTAAAAGTCATGTTGAAATTCGCTCCCCATTGTGGCAGAGTTGGGAGGTCTGGCCCAGTGAAAGGTGTTTGGGTCATGAGAACACAAAAATACCTTCCCTTGAGACTGAGTTCTCACTCTCACAGGCCTGGATTACTTTTACTAGAGAGCAGATTGTCCTAAAAGTGAGTTTTTCTTCCTAAACTCTCTCTTGCTTCCTCTCTCACTGTGAGATCTACTTGCACAGGCTCCCTCACTTTTTCACTTCTTTGCTATGTTTTGACCCAGTACAAGGCCCTCACCTGAAGCCAGCCAGATGTGGCGCTATGCTCTTGAACTTCCCAGCCTGCAAAATCATGAGGTAAATAGACATTTCTCCTTTAAAAATTACCCAGCCTCAGGTATTCTGTATAACAGCAACACAACATGAACTAAGACAGCTAATGTGAGGGTGAGCAGCCCCACCAGAAGTCCCTCAGGGTGCCCTCATAGCTGGGGCTCACCCAGCTGCTTCTTCTGCCTGCACAGTAATAGCCTTTGGCTGGAAAAGGATGTGGCATTTCCTGGTCAACTCCTCAAGATCTGCTCTGCAAACAATGGCTAGAACATAAGCAAATGTCCTTATCAAGAGCTCATTTTTACAGACCATAGAAAAAGGAGTTCTGGTAACTTTCTTGCTTAAAGCCTTAGGAATTTAAGTCGATCCAGAGATAATAATATAATAGCTGGCAACTCTTCATTTTATTACTGCCACTCTGGGTTTCTTTCATGTCATTGGAATTCATGTTTTAATCACTAATCCCTTCACAATATGCTGAATAAATCTGCAAGTGTACTAGCTTGTACTCACATTCTGTACATATAGAATTGATGTATATCACAAATATGTGGAAGTGGCGATTTCTGCAGACAACAATTTTCTCTAAGATCACTGAATATAAATTCCATTTCTTTTTCCTAAAACCACAATAAGATAGACAATATTATTTACACAAAGAACACGAGACTGAGGTTCATGAGGCTGAAGGATGTGATGCAAGAAACATGAGATTACAAGTCATTTATTTGAATTTGTATTTCTGATTACTCATTAGTGTATGCTTAGAAAATTTCTTTTCCTCTCAGTATCAGGATTTCTATGTAGTAAAGATACTGGGAAAAATTATTTCCAAGTCTCTTCTAGCTCTTTCAATCCAGAATTTTAGCAACCTGAAATAAATAGTTTTCCCTTATTGAGATGTTTGTTAACTACAGATCCTTTCTTTAGCTGATAAAAAAAAATAGTTAAAAGCTGGTAAAGTATCCATTTTCAAAAATATACCTCACAGGATATTTTTCTAGGCCCTTGCTGCTTTTTCCATGTTTTTTTTGTTTTAGCTTATACATTTATGGGAACTACTTCCTCAATTTAGCCTTCTTCATGGAGAGGTAGATACATTTTATAAGTTCAGATTCCATAAAACAAGATTATTTTCAGCAGTGCCAGTTGTTTCCAGGAGTGCTGGCAATTTTTTATTTGTACCAGGAAAGAGAATGCAAAAATCACTAAAATTTTAGAAAATCATTTCCTTCTCTTATCTTTGTAGGCTTTATGCCCTTGATGAGAACTGAAGCGTGTCTGTCCTATATACTACTTCCTTTAAAATCCTTATCTTAGGCTGGGCGCGATGGCTCACGCCTGTAATCCTAGCTCTCTGGGAGGCCGAGGTGGGCGGATTGCTCAAGGTCAGGAGTTCAAAACTAGCCTGACAAGAGCGAGACCCTGTCTCTACTATAAATAGAAAGAAATTAATTGGTCAACTAATATATATAGAAAAAATTAGCCGGGCATGGTGGCACATGCCTGTAGTCCAAGCTACTCGGGAGGCTGAGGCAGGAGGATTGCTTGAGCCCAGAAGTTTGAGGTTGCTGTGAGCTAGGCTGACGCCATGGCACTCACTCTAGCCTAGGCA